AAGGAACAACTTCCGGGTTCAACCAAGCTATCGTCGACTTATATCGCCATGCTCAGGGCATCCTCAAGAAAAATGAATTTATATACATCATATAGGACACGAGGAGCCAAAATTCCAAAAAAGGAACGAAAACATAATGAAGGTACTGTTTTTTTTTGCTTTTTTTTGTGATCACAGACTAATTAACATTACAGTTAATGTTTAAACAGTTTTTAATGGTTTTAATTGCTGTTTTCGGGTATAATTTTAATGTTAATTAGTCTGGGATCACAAAAAGAAAATTTCTGATCCAATATGTATATAAAGTATATGACTATATATAAAGTATACATATATATACATATACACATACACATACATTATACATTATACATATACATACACATACACATATACATATACATATATATAGCCTGGAGTACCGAGATTATTTATGTTAAAAAGGTTAATAATTAGCGCACAGATAGTAGAAATTATTCTCCGGAGATGTTGGATATGGGTTCAAGTCAATATATATCTAAAATTTAGTAGCCATTAATACTTTTATAAAAGCGTTTTAAAGCGTAGCGCGAAAATAGTGACTTTGGAGGTCAAATTTCCGGCAACATGTTCACTCACAGACAGGGCCAAGATAAATTGCACAAATCTCATATCTTCTTACTAGTTGAACGATTACGTTTAATACTCGATATATTAAAAATTTAAGTTAAAAATTAAGCGTTTGTGAACGTGAGTCAAGCAGTGCATGAAAGGATGTTGTTAATAGCATATTTATCATATATTAACAAACGAATTATAAAGACGAGAATGTATCTATCATCGCAGGAAGAAAAGATTTCGCAGGAAGAGTGAAAGATACTGATTTTGAAGATGGACCGGGGCGGAAAGCCGATTAAAAGCCTCGAAAAGAGGATTGGAGGGAAGTGAAAGATCCACGCTTATAAGAAGGATTATTTGCCCCCTTTTTCTTTTTTATTATCGGAAATTCTTACTAAAAAAACGCTCCTGATCCGGCTAAACCGGAATTCTAATTGGCCAGAAACGTGTATTACACATGACGATTTGAACGTCGTTTCCGACAATTTGATGATCAATTGGATTTCTTCGGTGTTCCTCTGAAAAATCTTTGCCACATTTAAGAGATTATCACCGACTTTCAATTTTCATAAAACGTTTCCACGATCAAACTTGATAATGTTCCAATATTGAAACCAACCATTCAAAATTGACAAATCTTTTTTTTTTGTAATCAACATTTCGACTTTGTCACAGCGCAAAGAAAATTTAATTTAATTTCAATCGTAATCACCAAAGGCTTTCTCTAAGCCAGATTAATTATAAATGAAATCAGTACGGTAGTATTCTTTTTAATCAAGTCCCTAGACTACGCTAAGCAAAATTAAGTTCAATATTTTCCATATCAATCCATCATGTTTAGTGGTCTAATTGACCAAATTATTTCTTTCAATTAATTATTCCTTTTATATAAGGTCTTGGATGAGATGAAAATGTCAGTGTCACGAGCGGGATTCAAACCCAGCCGAAGATCGTGGGTTCGAATCCCGCTCCTGACAATAACTTTTTCATCTCAACCAACGACCTTGCATAAAAAGAATAATTAATTGAAAGAATTTTCCAAATCGTTTGAATACATTCTTACAGCTGGACTGTTTCAAATTCTACAAGTTTATTAAAACAATTTTGAAAATTTTGCACCTAGATTTTATATTAAAACCTTTCTTTATTATTAAAAATTAAACTTATCACACTCACTGTGATCATAATTTAATCAATTATTTTTCTGCTAAAATGTTGGATACCTTAAAAAATATCCCTTTTAATCTATACAAGGTTGCACTAGAAAAAGAACAGCGATCAATAGAATATAAATTTACTATTCAACTGTTTCACCCCCTACGAGAAATCATTTGACGTAACTAAAACCGTTTGAAATAGAATAGCACATGCAACACAAAAATCTATATCGATATTACGTAAGGAATAGTCAAAAGTCGCACTGTAAGAAAAAAAATGTACTAACCGTAAAATGTAAAGCATCTTCTTTCCAAGCCAGAAAAATAAATTGTGATCGCCTAGCAAACCTGAAGTTAGCTGACTATCCGGGTCGATGAGATGAATCCTGGACTAGAAAAAAAAACTGAAATGGGATTTTGTAGCAAGGACTACCGGAGCTCTATGTGATGTGTGAAGTAGAATAGCCGAGCAATATGAAAGATTAACCTGCCAATCGGAAAAGGCTCATGATTATTCGTGGACACTGTAAATATTTTCAACTTAGAAACATTTATTATAATTTAAACTAACGAGAAATTATTGGTTTATGTTTCTTCAGACAGTACTATTAATTTTAGAATAATTATAAAAGAAAATGTTTACATTAGAAGTTAAAATTATGAACATTACAGAGAAAATCTCCTTCCAACAAGCAAAGAATAATTATTTCTTACAAATTAAACAAAAAATTAAATTATTGTTTAGAATTATATTTGTTCACTTCAGTGATTAACTTTTTTTATATTTTATTGGTACTTATGTCTACTAGAGCAGGCTGAACTAGTTCTTTTCGCTCAGCAGTCAGAAGGGATAGAAAATTTAAGTTTGAATGGAGAGGATGCTCTTCCGAAAAGGTTTTAACAAGTTCGAGGCAGCCGGCAGCCGAGAACCCGGTTACGAGCCCGTTGAAACTTTTTAAAATGAGACACAATCAGAAGAGTAGCAACTTGAACAATAAATTCTAGAAGAGCCATCTTCGAGGAAGATTCTTCTGCGAACACTCATTAATAATTTATACAGTCCCCACAAAGCCCGAGGCCTGGAGCAGCGCTAAGCCGACCTAACTTCTACATAATCTACGCACCCAAAAGGGCATCAATAATATCTCGAATCTCCATTAATTTAACACTCCTTCACCCCGTTCTGATTCCCAGATTTTCCTTTGTGATAAACAAACAAGGAATAGTGATCTCTGCGCAAATATCAATTTAAATTTCATAAGGGCAAATGTTGAATATCCGTTCGGCAAATCTATCCACATCGATCTAATCTGGAACTCTCATTGATAGTTAAATGTGGTAGACAGAAGTCATTGTTCAATCTATAAACATGCTCAGAAAGTTTGAAAATACATATGAATGGCATAAATATGAAATTTTATTATTTTATTTAACTCTAAAAAGCAATGAAATTCTTACATTCAGCTAAAAAAACTTTAAAACCGAGGTGGTGACTTTTAAATAGACACAAAATATCGTTTACTTTCAAATGACTACTATATGATATATCAAATTGCAAAAAAATATCTTATTTACATAAACTAATTATTTGGTTTGTTATAAAAGTAAAGAGGTACAATTAAAGCACTTTTAAAGCCTAGCGAAGACTTAATCACGATTTTTGCGATAAGAAGATCAAAATACAGCGTAAAACATTGCGTGTATATGTGTATGTGAGTGTGAGTGGGAGAGAGCTAGAAAGGGAAAGAGAGAAAGAAGAGAGAGAGGGAGAGAGAAAGAGGAAGGGCAAGAGAGAGAGAGAGAGAGAGAGAGAGAGAAAGAGAGGGAGAGTAAGAGAGAGCGAGAGAGAGAGAGAGCAAGGGAGAGCGAAAAAGAGAGAAAGAGAGAGGAGGGAAGAGAGAGAGAGAGAGAGGGAGCGACAGAGGGAGGGAGAGAAAGAGAAAGAGAGAGCGAGAGAGAGAGGGGGGACAGAAGGAGAGATATATAAAGGGAGGGAGAAAGAGAGAGAGAGAAATAAAGAGAGCTAGAGAGGGAGAGAGAAAGAGAGAGAGCGAGAGAGAAAGAGAGAGAGAGAGCAAGAGAGGAAGAGAGAGAGAGAGAGAGAGAGAGAAATAAAGAGAGCTAGAGAGGGAGAGAGAGCGAGAGAGAAAGAGAGAGAGAGAGCAAGAGAGGAAGAGAGAGAGAGAGAAAGAGAGAGAGAGGGAGGGAGGTGAGAGAGAGAAAGAGAGCGAGAGAGAGAGAGAGGGGGTGGGACAGAAGGAGAGATATATAGAGGGAGGGAGAAAGAGAGAGAGAGAGATGGGGGGAGAGAGGGAGACTGAAAAAGAAAGAGAGAGAGGGACAGAGAGAGAGAAAGATAAAGAAAGAGAGCTAGAGAGGGAGAGAGGGAGAAATAGAAAGAGAGGGAGTGAGGGGGGAGAGAGAGAGAGAGGGACTGGGCATCTTCGTAGATAAAACTATCACTCGCATATTGTTGTCGCGGAAAACATTCATGAATATGTGTAACCTAACTCGTCTGGGACCCAACCTTATCTAACCTGTAATTGCTAGGTTTTTTAAATAGTTAGTTGAAAACCTTAAGGTCAACATCTACCACTACGCTATATATATATAAATAAGTCAATATAACAATTTTGATGGCATGTGACGTTTTAATTGAATTAAAAATGGGGTTTGAATGATAAATCGATTAAAGTTATGCAGCATTATGAATATTTCATCATCGTTAGCACTTCTCCCTTCTTTTTCACGCTCCACCTTTTCGCGAAATCGAATGGATCTACTCTTTTGGTTCTCATGCCTACATTTTATACGCCTTGACAAAAAATAGTCGCAGACGTTGCTAGTTAACAAAGTTGTCGTTGCGTGTTTGCGCACTGAACAACCGGCTTTTCTTGGGGAAAAAAACATGAAGGAAAACCTTGTAAAAGTTCTTCTGCACGACTCCAAACTGTTTACCGGCCATATAAAACCATATCGCACCCTGGCTTGTGGACTAGGTGCAATTTCCGGTTGAAATTTATGTGCCGTAATAACACTTCGCAGCGATGGTTGTATTATTTTGTAAAACTACACGAATAAAGTCGATCGACTTTATTAAAAAATGGCTGAAATAATTTACTCCCAAGGCCTTGCGGAAAAAACGTTTTAATAATGATAAAATATTGCTTTTTATTAATTTCGTTCTAGTACACAGCAAAGTTTTATTAATTTGTTAATTACATATTTTCTTTCTGCTTTCAGGTAAGATGAAAAATCACGGCATTCTAAAAATTTCACGACACACGACGACAAGGGATTGGGATGTCGGAAGCTACGTTAGGTTAAGAAAGAGAAGGTACGCCCGGTCTCGATAGTTTAACCATATTTTTAACCATTTCTTTGTAGTGTTGTCACCTAGCGTTTATGCTCAAGTATATGCTATCTTTTGAATTTCCGGACCGCTTTAAAACTTTCACGTACCCCTGTCAGGAAAACTACCACCGCAGGGGAACCACGATGTTTAATATTGCATGCGTTCACTTCAAAGTCATCGCACATGGTAATTGAAAATAAGTAACTACACATGTCAAAGGGTTAAGCGTACTTTAATGAAAACTAACTTTTTATTAATAAAACATTTATCCTCCACACCCCAACAAAGTCAGATAACGCAATAAAATAAAATCAATTATTATTGTCCAGTACAGTCAAACCATTTGTAGTCCATTCTAATCGAAAACATTCGAAATTTTTTCTAACTAAAATTAAATAATTAAGTGATATCTGTATAGCTCTGATTACCCCTTATTTAAACTATTTTTCAGTCCCTCATAGTTTTGATTAAAAAAATGAAATGTGTTTAGTGATCGCTAGTTAATGATTGTTTGGAGATCATGAGATGCGGTCTTTTGTGTTGTACGTTTTAGAAAAACATTTTCTTTATCGTGCCAACGTTTCGATCTTTATTGAGATCATCTTCAGGGCCTGGGATTTACAAACATTGCTTAAATTTTACAAACACATGTAGGATATGAATAAAATGAATTTATGCAATGCTAGAAATTTTAGATTCAATCAAAGTATTTGTACCCCCTCAAAGTGTTTGTTTTGATAAAGAAAATGTTGTTCTAAAACCTACGTCAACCTAAAAAATGAGGTTAAACTATGAATTATCTTCCACAAGAAATTAATCTAGATCCCTCACATACAGCATATCGTAACCAAAAGAAAAATTTGATATAAAAAAGACCTATTCCATGGCTCATTAATCTGGTGTACTAAAGCTCAAAAAACCTACCGAAAATGCGCAGCACACATCATTAGGAAATCTATGCATCAAAGAAATAATGAAAGTAACCCCATCATCTGCCTAACAAACACTGTCAATCCTACATCCATTATAAACAAATATACAAGGATAAGTTAGCTTTTACAGACTCGATAAAAAGTTGAAAAACCTGTTATGAGAAAAAACCGCACGTTCCAACTCAAATTACGGTTAATGTACTCGGATTTGAAAAATTGCCCACTAAAAACCCGAGCGCACGCGCATATGCTACACTGATTACGCGTTTTGAGAAACGTAAATGGAAGTGCGCATGCACAATCAGTCTAAAGTGGGCCTTTTTTCCATGGAGAATTTTTTTTCTATATACAGCTCAAAAATGTACATATCATCATAATTTTACAACACTTTTTTTACATAGTACTAGTAGGTAGGAAGCTTTCTGGAAGAGTACCAGTCCATTGGTCACAACCTCAAACGGTACTTGTAGGAGTACAAAAAAGGATAAACGACGAACTATTATAATCCACAAATTTTGGTGAATTTATTTTTTCTTGGTGCTAGGTTAGGAGGTTATGGCCTGTGAAAAATTATTGCATCGTTAAGCTGAAATACTTTTAATAAATGCTATAATGCTTGAAATGACATTCTACTTCATGCTGAAAGAAAGATCGGATTAGTGAAACTGAACCAAAATGTAGGAAAAGTCCAATAAGTGATAAGGCTGGAGTGATTGGGGAATACTAAACTCCTACTTCATAGTGTCCACGTTATCATTACTATGATCATTATTACAAAACTTATCGATCAATATTTTTATTATTCGTGAATACACATCATTTTACCAGATTTTTTAAACTTTAAGTTACTTCTAAACTAAATAAATTAAGTTAATCGCAGCTTTAAAAATTAAACACAAAGATCAATTAACTTTTTCTTAAATCCGAAGGCTTCTGAACAGTGAGAATTCGACAAATCTGACAAATCAACTCGGTCCAGTTCCGCGTGTAAATACAAGGACGGTTTTCAAGTACGTTAGCCGATCCGATTCTGAAACTAGATGTAGGGTTTCTGATCAATATTGACCTTTTAACTCTGAGTGGTTTCGCCGTCGGCTTGACATACCGACACAGATTACTCGTGATGACCCCCAAAGCTATTGACAAAAAGAAGAAGAAATATACACACTGACAAATCGCTATTATAAGACATGGAAAACACCAATGAAGCATGTTGTACAGATCAATCAAAGAAAATATTATTTTTCTATTATCCGATTCTTATATCAGATTAAACTTCTATATAAAAGCTGACGTAAAAACAAATTTCATTCACTTATATATTTTGTTAATTAATTGTACCTTTTGTTGGTGAATCCCTGAATGAATTTGAAGTCAGTCATTGTTCATTTTTAATAAACCAACTAACTTCCTTTTATTTGCTCTAGAAACCAATTTACTAAAAATGCCGAATCAATAAATGACCTCATACACAATTTCCTAATACTTTAGATGAATTTTTCTTATTTGTTTGTAATCCCTGTCCTGGATCAATTACAAGCAATCAAACGAGCAACTGGGATACCGCATCTACCCGACTGGTTTCTCTTAGGTCATCCTAAAGTCCAACATTGCCGAACCTTACTTCTGGGGGTAACAATTCCCAAGGTACTAGCCTGGTCCTACCCTTTTCTTCAGGGAAATATACGATTAGTATTGTAAAGTAGTATTCTTGGTCCTACTCTTTACTTCGGGGTACCTTCCCAGTCACCCATCCATCTTATCCGAGCCGGACTCCCCCTAGTAGTTCCTTGGTCCTATCTTTATTCGGAAATCGTGAGATGCGGTATGGTGTGACGTAGGTTTCAGAAAAACATTTTCTTTATCGTGCCAACGTTTCGATCTTTATTGAGATCATCTTCAGGGCCTGGGATTTACAAACATTGTTTATATCCAAAATGTAATTGTTATATGTAAACAATGTTTACATATAACAATTACAAACAATGTTATTTGTAAACATTGTTTAAATTTAACAAATACATGTAGGATGTGGAAAAAAGTTAATTTTTACAATGCAAAAAATATTTTTTATATTCAATCAAAGTATTTTTACTCACTCAAAGTGTTTGTTTTCTGCGTAAGTGTGCCATTCTTGAGTGTCGTGTTGAGAGTGCCACTGAGATATTGCTGTTTTATGTGATATATGTTGGATTTTGAATGGGTGGGGAAGGAAGTAGGGATGGAAAGGCATTTTTGTATAAGCAGTCGGCGTCTTTGAGGTGAAATAGCCGACGAAGGGAAAAAACGTTGGTAATAGTTCGGCCAGATTATCCTTTCAGATTATATAGACGGGGATAAATAGGAAAAGGAAAGCTAAATTGTTGAAAAATTAGACTTATTGTAGATCTGTTAGATAGAAAAATATATTCATCTAAATGCATTTGTTTTTATCATTGTGACAGTAACACAAAAGGTTAACCTGGTTTGATTGATCAAGAATTAAGGATCACTAAAGACAGGTCTAACCAAACTTTTTAAGATCATTTTTATTTATAAAAAGTATACAGAAATTTTCAAACTTGTTGATAATTGGCTATTCAGGCCTTTTATAAATTATAAAAATCCTCTTATGACACGTATACGGCTCTTCCAAATTAGCCATTTTTGATCTCAAATTAACCTTTTTTTTTTATTTAAATTACACATTTCTTTGAATCATTAACAAATTGAAGGTAAAAGGTAAACTTCAAAAACAAGGCGGGATGAAATATAAGCATGTAAAGAAAATAAATTACTATATATTGCAATTAATTAAGGTTGTTAGTTGAGATAAAAAAAGTCAATGGCACGAGCGGGATTCGAACTGGATCCACTCGGACACTAACTTCCCGTAGAGCAGCGGCGTATCAAGCCGAAGATCGTGGGTTCGAATCCCGCTCGTGCCATTGACTTTTTTTATCTCAACAAAAAACCTTAATTAATTGTAATACATTAATTGGTCAAGCGGACCACGAAATTAGTGAATTTACTATATATTGCAATTTTTTAAATAAAAAAATAATTCGGCTTTTAAAATATCATTAAAAATTAATTACAAATACAATTAAAAATTATATAAAATTAAATATCAAACTAAAGTAAATTTACCTTTTTACTTAAAAAATCACACGTAACTGTTTTCTAACACAAACGAAAATTTTAAATAAGACAAATTAATCTTAAAAATTTCATGTTTCAAATAAAATGCCTTCAAAACATAAAATTAATTATAAAAATAGTTTACTCTCGTAATAAATTCACTTGTTTTTAACATAAAATAATCGTGTGTGGTGATTAGTGATCGTTAGTCGGTGATTATTCAGAAATCGTGAGATGCGGTCTGGTGTGATGTAGGTTTCAGAAAAACATTTTCTTTACCGTGCCACGTTTCGATCTTTATTGAGATCATCTTCAGGGCCTGGGATTTACAAACATTGGTTACATTTAACAAATACATGTAGGATGTGGAAAAAAGAGAAATTATAAAATGCAAAAAATATTTTTTATATTCAATCAAAGTATTTCTACTCACTCACTTGTTTTCAGCGTAATTATGACATTCTCGCGTGTCGTGTTGAGAGTGCCAGTGAGATATTGCTGTTTTATATTTATATACGTTGGATTTCGAAGGGGTGGGGAAGGAAGTCGGTACAGAAAAGACATTTTTGTATAAGCAGTCGGCTTGTTTGAGGTAAAATGATCTCAATAAAGATCGAAACGCATAAAGAAAGTGTTTTTCTGAAACCTACATCACACCAGACCACATCTCACGATTTCCGAATAATTATCGACTAACGGGAACTAATCACCACACACTTAGTCCTACCGTTCACTTAACAAAAGCCGACAAACCTTGTCATCCTAATACTTCTCTGTTCATATTTGCAAACGATACTTGTCCATTCATAAGCCCGTTCATTTCCTGTAATCTACCATGGCTAAAGAAGTGGTAGATAAAAGTAGAACAATAGTAATACCAGAGTACGTGTTTAGAAAGCAGCCTCGTAGCTAACTTGGTGACAGTGTCAA